AAGACACAAAGGTACTATGGCCACCATCACCAGAGAGAAGACCCTCCTGCTGGGTACCCTCCCAGGGCCTCCACCCCACTCACCAGTCACCCCGATGACGGAGACGGGGCCCACATGCTGGCCCCCATGGAGGCCGTACAGGTTCATCTTGTACTTTTGGTCCGGCTCCAGGCCCGAGATGGTGACCTCGTCCTCATGCCCCGGCACCCGCACTGCCTTGGGCTGCCCATCCCCGTTCCTGTACTGGATCAGAAAGTGGTCAAAGTGGCCCTCCGGGACCGTCCAGGACAGGTGCAGGGAGTCAGGAGTGGCATCAGTCACGGTCAGCTCCCTCAGGTGAGGCTTGAAGGGAGGCTTGGGGGTCGCCGTGGGCGATTCTGAAGGTTCATCCTCCTGTGGGACTGAACAGAGACACAGAGAGAGAGAAGGACCTGAGCTATGGGAGGGTGTCCACGGGGCTCTGGTCTTCTCTGGGCCCCCCAGCCATGTAGAAAGCAGCAGAGCGGCCAAAGCTCTTCTTGCTCACCTGTCAGGGCCTCAGTGTGGGCAGGACCCACCCGCTGCCCGTCATGGAAGCCATACAAGTCCACCAGGTATCTATGGTCAGATTTCAGGCCGGAGATGGTGACATCATTCTGGTCGCCCTCTAAACTGACTGCCTGGACTAGCCCGTCCCTGTCTGTGTACTCGACCATGAAAGAGTCGAATTCTCCCTCAATCACCATCCAGGAGAGATGCAGGGTGTGCGATGTGGCCTTCACCACGGTGAGCGTCCCCAGGCGGGGCTCAGCTGCTGTAGGGGCTGTGGCCTGGATCACACCTCTGTCTTCTTCCCTGGGGGCTGGCTCAGAGACAAGAGACAGGGGTGATGAAATTGTCCGCTGCACCCATTGGGGCGGAGGGGAGGCGAGAAGGCGGTGAGGGCAAGACGTCAGCCAAAAAAAGGACCAACTACTGATCCATGTGGATGAATTTCACAAGCATTATTCAATGTGCAAGAAAACCAAAAACAAACCAAACCCGTTGCCGACGAGTCGATTCCGACTCACGGCGACCCCATGTGTTACAGGGTAGAACTGAGGCTCCATAGAGTTTTCTCGACTATAATCTTAATGCAAGCAGTTCGCTGGGCCTTTCTTCTGCAGTGCTGCTGGATAGATTTGAACTCTTAAACTTCGTTAGTAGTTGGGCGCAAACCCTTTGTGCCACCCAGAGATTTTAAAGTGCAAGAGCCAGGTGAAAACAACTACTTATCATGTGATTCTATTAGATAGCATACTTAGAAAGGCCTTATAGCTATCATGATAGGAAGCAGATGGATGGTTCCTAGAGGCTGGGGTTGAGGGAATGGACTGCAAAGGGGCACAAAGAAACTCTCTGGGTTGATGGAAACATTTTATATCTCGATTGTGGTAGTGGTTTCATTTGTCAAAACTCATCCAACTGTTGACTTAAAATGGATGAATTTTATTGTATATAAATGATGACTCAATAAAGCTGATCCTGGAAGCACTGAGTGTCCATTAATGGTGGTGAAAAGTCTGGCAATGAATACCGATGATGCTTGCACCACATGGTTGAGGTAATCGGTGTCACTGAATTGTAATGTAAAAATGTTGAATTGCACGTGTACATCAATGTTCACTGCAGCACTATTCACAATAACCAAAAGGTGGAAACAATCGAAATATCCATCAACAGATGAATGGATAAACAAAATGTGGTATACATATACAGTGGACTATTACTCAGCCATAAAGAGGAATGAAGTCCTGAAGCATACCACAATATGAATGAATCTTGAAAACACCATGATGAGCAAAATAAATCAGTCGCAAAAGGACAAATATTATATGAACTCACTTATGTGAAATAAACAAATATATAGAAACTAAAAAGTATTAGTGGTTACCAGGGGTGGGAGGAACGGGGAAAGGGGATTTTGGCTTTGGAGGCAGTGAATTTATGTTGATGATGGTGGGATAATTTGGAAAAGGACAGCAAGATCAACTGCACAACTTGAAGAATGTAATCAACGTCACTGAATTGTACATGTAGAAATTGTTGGTGTCTGTTTTGCTGTATATATTTTCACCACACAAACAAAAAAAGCTGAATTGGCAAATATTGTGTTATATAAATTTTTACCACAATAAAAAATAAAAATAAAACTGATCCCTTCCCTAAAAAAAAAAAAACGGAGATGGGAAGCTCAGAAATGGGGTGGGCTTAGCGAGAGCAGGAAGCCAAGGTGGGGAAGGAAGCGTGGGGTGTCCTGGCCGCGGCCCACTCACCAGTCACGACGATGGCGGAGATGGGACCCACACGCCGGTCACCATGCAGCCCGTAGAGCAGGAGCTTGTACTTGCGGGCGGGGTCCAGGCCCGGGATGGTGACCTCCCTGAGGCTGCCCTCCACGGGCACCACCTGTGGCTGCCTGTCCCTGTCCTTGTACTGGACCACAAAGGAGTCGAATTCGCCTTCAGGGACCATCCACGAGAGGCCCACGGAGTCTGGGGTCACACCGGTCACCTGCAGCTCCTCTCCGAGACGGGGCTTTGGGGGATGCTTTGTTACAGTCTCGTCCACAGCTCTCTGGGTCTCTGAGATGGAGACACAGGGAGGGAACAGCTGAGCTGTTTCTGGAAGCCTGGGTGACCTCTGAGAGCAGGATTGAGGCCTGAAGGCAGAGTTTTGCCATGGCCGAGCTCCTGCAGGGCTGGTGCAATGAGCTTGTGCAAGTGTTGGGGGAGCTGGATCTGAGCGAGGAGGCTGGGACCAAATCACAATCACAATGGCAGCCACCACAAGTGACCAGTGGCCTGGCAGGGTGCTGGGCGCCTTCTCCAAGGGGGCTCAGGGATGCAGAGCAGGGCCTGCAGGGGACCCCACTCACCAGTGGTGCCATCAGCTGTGAGGGGGCCGTGGCGCTTCTTATCCAGGAGGCCGTAGAGGAGGAATCGGTACTTTCGGCCTGGGTCCAGCGGGGTGACGGTGACTGAGCGCTGGTGGCCCTCCACGGACACCACCCTGGGCCCATCCCTGTCCTTGAACTGGACCGTAAAAGAGTCAAAGTGGCCCTCAGGGACCGTCCAGGAGAGGCGCAGCGAGTCTGCGGTGGGGTCCGTCACCCACAGTTCCCCCAGGAGGGGCGGGGTTCCTGAGCTGTTGGCATCTCGGGTAGCTGACAGAGACGAAAGGTTCTTGTGTTTATTTTTTCCAAATGACTCCCTGACTGCCTCCCACTGGGGTTGGAAAAACCCAAAGCTGCCCAAATGGTCACTGCTTCCCCAAAATGTTTCTACTGCCCTCTCATCCCTACCACCAGCCCCAATTGGCCCACGCTTCTCTCCACTTGACCAATGTGGGGAAGGGTCTTCTGCCCAGAGACATTTCTAGGAACAGAGACCCCTAGCTTCCCTCTCTGTCCAGCCTCTTCCCATCTACTGGAGACCATTTTCCTAGCAGGTGCAGCTTATCACAGGACTTGGTCTCTGTCTGTTTCTTTTTACCCAGAAGCCCATGCTTTGGGATTTGGCTGGCTCCTGGGGAGATTCCAAGGGAGGTCAGAGTGGGCCCAGGATCCCTGATGGAGGCAGACCGCAGGTGGGGGAGGTACTATGATGGAGGTGGTCTTGGCTCCACCTCATCCCTTTCTCATATGGCACTCCCACAGGGCCTGCTGGAGTGGGGGCTGCCTGCGGGTGGGGTAGGTGGGTGAAGTGAGGAGCTCAGATGGGAAAAGGATTTGGTGTCTGCCCAAGGAGCCATCCAGGGCCTGGGAAGGAGCTGGCCTGCTGCCTTCCTGGACAGCGAGGACTCTGACGGCATTGTTATTTCGAGAGTTTTCTGGCAACAAGGAGCCCCCAGGGACAAGGGAGGGCCTGGATTGAACCCCAGGAAAGGGGCGTGGCTGGGCTGCGCCAGGCAGGCCAGGCTGGGAAGCCTGCCCGGGGCTCCTCTGGTTCCAGCTTCTGAGGCCCCAGGAGAAGGGCAGAGGAGGAAGGGGGGCTCTGGGGGAGGCAGATATGGGACCAGATGGGCCTGAGTCAGGAGGGTAAGTATCTGGGTGAGGGACTGTGGTGGGGAGTCAGTGGGGAGGTGGCAAAACCCTCAGAGGTGACCACTACACAGAGCTGAAGGCCTGCGAGACCCTGGGAGGCAGGAAGGGCTCCTGAGTACCCCTGGCCTTCTCCCAATGCCCCCAGCCTTCCCGTTCCATCCTCTAGGAAGGGGCTGAAGGGGCTTCCCCCACCCAACAGAGATGAAAATCATGAGACGAGAGGAAAGGTCACCAGGGAGAGCACCAGGACTGGCCCTGGTTTCCCGTCCTTGTCTGCCTTGTACGGGGGCAGGCAGTGCAACTTTCCAGTTGAAAGAGAGAGGTGGACAAGGGAAGCCCCGGCAGAGGGAGAGGAAATCAGCAGTGTGAAGAAGGGCAGAAAGGCCACAGGGGGGCTCTCACCCGTCTTTGCCTCCACAGAGACTGGGCCTCGTCGCTTCCCATCCTGGATCCCAAAGAGCAGGAACTTGTACTTGCGGGAGGGCTCCAGGTCAGGCACGGTGACCTCACGCTCATCTGCGGCCACAGGCACCACTTGGGGCTGCCCACCCCTGTCCTTGTACTGGACCACGAAGGAGTCGAACTTGCCCTCGGGGACTGTCCAGGAGAGGTCAACGGAGTCGGAGTTCATGCCCGTCACTGCCAGCTTCCCCAGGCGAGGCTCCTGGGGGCGTTCGGGAGCACTTGTGGCTGGGGCTGGTGGGAGGGGAGCTAGGATCCGGGAGGACAAAGAAAATGGCTGAGATTTCTGAGGGGAGAACCCCCACCCCACAGGGCTCCTGGGCTCCATGGGCCTCAGGGAGTCCATGAACTGACATGGGAAACAGTTACATCTTTATTTTCATGGACCTCTACCTGAAATGTAGCATTGCCTTCAATATGAATGTAAGAAACCAGTCAGTGGTATGTGCAGTACCTATGACTCTGCCTCCAAAAGAAATCACAGGTGTTTTCACACCACCTTAGAGTGACTGCAGAAACTTCAAAATACTGGTTACACTCATCGCTACTTTTAAATGTGGGTAGTTTATTAAACTTGCTGCTAAATCTTATTATTTAATGAACTAATAAAGAAGTCCAAACCAAAACCCCAAACCTGCTGTTGTTGAGTCAATTCTGACTCCTGGCAACCCCATGTGTTACAGAGTAGAACTGCTCCATAGGGTTTTCTTGGCTGTAATCTTCACGGAAGCAGATTGCCAGGCCTTTCTTCCGAAGTGCAGCTGGGAGGGTTCGAACCACCAACTCTTAGGTTAGTAGCTGGGTGCGAACTGCTTGCACCACCCAGCCTCCTTAATTAAGAAGTCCAAGTATTATTAAATCATAAGTTTGAGTTTTATGAAGTATTTAGATAACTGTCTATCAATATAATTGGTTTCCTTTGTCGTCCTATGCATTTTACTTTACAGATTTACAAACACTGTTCTGAGAGGGCTCTGTAGGCTTCTCCAGGCTCCTGGCCCCAAGATGGTGGAGCACCTGTGCCAAGGAAGCTATGAGGGGCAGGAAGCACAATCCTGGAGAGGGCCATTTCCCAGATGATGCGGACTGTGGCACTGCTGAGGGAAATGCAGCCCGGGCCAGGTGGCTGAGGACTTCTGACAAAAGATTCTAAGCTATGTGTCATTTGACCTCAATAAAAAAGAGCAGCAGGGGGAGGTGGCAGCCATGTCCAAGTCACCACAGGGTTGTAAAGAGAAGGGGAGGAAACAGCTGTGGACAATCAGAGAGTCTTCTGGCTGGATGTAGGTCAGATGGAAGGGAGACGTTCCCACTCAGGGAGGGAGTGGGTGGGGGGGTGGGGAAAGAACTGGAGGGCAGGGAAGGTTCCAGCCTGGGGAAGGAGCCAAGGGGTCGGGGAAACAGATTAAGGTGTCTGTGACCCCAGAAAGGACCTGTGGGGCCACTGAGGCAGGGCCTGAAAGGGCCCAGCCTCTCAGTGAGGGAATGGTGGTCCCCAGGCAAGGCTGGGAGACGGGTCTCTGGGTGGGATGGTCTCATCTCCCTCACTCACCCGTCATGGCTACCACAGAGAGGGGACCCATGCGTTGTCCATCATGTATCCCGTAGAAGTTGATCTTGTACTTTCTGGAGGGCTCCAGGCTGGGGATGGTGACTTCGCGCTGGTCTGCAGCCACAGCCACTGCCTGGGGCTGCCCATTGCTGTCCTTGTACTGGACCATGAAGGAGTCAAATTCGCCCTCAGGGACTGTCCACGAGAGGCCCACAGAGGTGGGGGTCACGTCTGTCACTGTCAGCTCCCCCAGGTGCCTCTCCTGGGGAGGCTCGGTGGCTGGAGGAGCCTCTTCTTCCTGTTGTGGGGCTGGGACAGAGATGGGGAAAGGGTTAGAAAAGGCCCTCCTTTCCCTCGGCGGTAATTATGTAATTGTTTTTGTGGTACCCATGAAGTGGCTTTGATGTTGTAAAACTACACTGGCCAGCTCATCTGTCTGGCCAACAATTCTTCCCTAAGTCCCCTTCAGGTGCGGGCTGTGCTGGGTGGGGGTAGGGTGTCAGCTGTCACAGAGACCCTGGGAAAGTGGCTGAAATTCCGTCTGTATGTCCATCACTCCGAATTCATACCTCCTCTTTCAGATCTCTCCCTTGAACCCCCACTCATGCTACTCAGCATCTCCCCTGGATGCCTAATGCGTGTCTCAGACACAGCAAGTCCAAAACTGACTCATGAGCTCCCCCATGCTTGCTCCCCCCACAGCCTTACCCAATTCAGTAAAATAACAACTCCATCTTCCAGCTGCTCAAGCCAGAACACTCAAGTCATCTCTGAGTCCTCACTCACATCCGGCCCGTTGGCACAACCTTCAGGATCCGACCCCTTCTCAATGCCCGCATTGCCCCATCTCCAGGGACCACCATCTCTTGCTGGACTATCCCAATAGCCTCCTAAGTCACCTCCTTCCCCCGCCCTCACTCCTCTTCAGTCTATTCCTTGCACAGCAGCCACGGAGGCTTGAAGCGGCTCCATCTCCCTCAGAGTAAAAACCTAGTCCTTACAAAGGCCTACGAGGTCTCACATGTCAATCTCTCACATCCTCCCCTCCACTTCATTCTCCATGTCACCTCCCTGCCTGCCGCCCTCCACATTTGCTCTTCCTTCTGCCTGGGATGCCCTTCCCCCAGATACCTGTGCAACTTGTCATCTCACCTGCTTCAAGTCTTACCCCAGACGTTGCCTTCTCAGTGAGGCCCTTCTTCCTGCCCCCTTGCTCAGACTCACCATCTCACCTGCTGGGCATTGTTTTTCTTTATGGTGCTCACAGTTTTAACCTGCAGCCCCACCAACACGTGGATGCACCCTGCTGCTCACTTCCCTCCACTAGAATGTGAGCCCTCAGGCCTTGTCCACAGAGGAGACACTCAACCAAAGTGTGTTAAGTTAGGGAGCAGTCTCAGGGGACAGTGAGTTTATGTCAATTTGGGAGGAACAATTTGGAAAACGGGGGTGGGAATGGTTGCACAACTTGAAGAAGCTAACCAGTGTCACTGAATTGTACATATAGAAATTGTTGGATTCGTGTATGTTCTGCTGTATATATTCTCAACAACAACAAAATTAAATTTAAAAAATTAGTAAGCAGTCTGCAGAAGGCTGAGCTCAGGACAGCCAGCCCCCATTGTCCTGGAAGGAACTGAGTCTAGGAGGCACCTCTCATTAGTGACGGTATCTGGAAAGTGGTCCCAAAAGGCACAATGGTGGAGAGGCTAGATGGATTCGACTCCCAAGAACTTGTTTGTCTGGATCCTGAGGGAAGGGAAGACTAGGCCCTAGAGAGGTAAAACCTGGTTAAAAACAGACTGGTAAAAACAAAAACACAACAACTGGTGACGAGGCCTCCAAAAACCACCAACCAAACCTGTTGCTGTCGAGTCAATTCCGATTCATAGCAACCCTAAAGGACAGAGTAGAACTGCACCACAGGGTTTCCAGGGAGCAGCTGGTGGATTCGAACTTCTGACCTTTTGGTTAGCAGCCGCAGCTCACTGTAGCTCTTAACCATTGTACAACCAGGGCTCTGATGAGGCCTCACGCAGACAGACATGAGTCAAGGTGGGGTAAGCAGGGAAGGAAGAAGCTACAATGGCAGATGAAGGGGGGATAGGAGAGACCAGATTAACCATCATGTATTGAATATCTCATGGCAACCCTATGTGTTATAGAGTAGAAATGCTCCATACGGTTTTCTTGGTCGTAATCTTTACAGAAGCAGTTCACAGATCTTTCTTCCACAATGCAGTTAGGTGGGTTCAACCTGCCAACCTTAGGTTAGTAGTCAAGGACCAACCTTTTGCACCACCCAGGGACACATGGGTGGCCATGAGTTGGAATCAACTTAACAGCAACAGGTTTGATTGTTTGGTTTTATTGAGCATCTATTATGTGCTAGTCATCAGGCCAGGCATTTTATTTCATTTCATTTGCCTTCTAGCTTTATTAGTTCCTATAGCATCCATTTCCTGCTTATTTTTGCCCTCTGTACTTCCTTCCTTATTACTCATCTGTCAATCTGTTGTATTGAGATAGCTTGCGTGTTACTATGATACTGGAAGCTATGCCATGGGTATTTCAAATACCAGCAAGGTCACCCATGATGGACAGATTTCAGTGAAGCTTCCAGACTAAGACAGACTAGGAGGAAAGGCCTGGTGATCTACTTCCGAAAATAAGCCAACGGAAACCCTTTGGATCACAGAATATTGTCTAAGACTTCAACTCACTTATTTTAGATGTGTCATTAGGAGGGACCGATTGCTGGAGAAGGACATCATGTTTGGTAAAGTGAAGGGCCAGTGAAGGCGAGCGAAACCCTCACTGAGAGGGATTGATAGAATGGCTACAACAATGGACTCAAACATACATGAAAATGGCACAGGACCAGGCAACTTTTCATTTTGTTATACATAAGGTCGCCATGAGTCAGAGCCAACTTGAGAGCAACAACGTACTTCCTTCTGTGAGGGAGAAAAACTGTCCCTCATCATCAAGTCTTCCTTGTTGGTGGTCTGGCTTAACTGGGAAAGGTGAGATTAGAACTACCCATAAGTATGACAATCCCCACGCTGCATTCAGGATAATCCTTTTCCAATTTAGAAGTGTTTCTAACTAGTTCCATGCATTTGATCTGCTGGCAATGGTCCAGCTTGTGCTATGTGCCAGGCAGGCCCCTCAGTCAGCTCCACAGACTCTGCTGCTTCCAATAAGCATGGGTGCTCGGTTCTTTCTTAAAGGGCCACTTAAATTTTATCCAGGACATCTAAAATACATGTCTGAAAACAGTGACTATTTGGACATGGATATGCAGTGATTTCTCCACAGGCAGTTTTGAGCACAAAGTCAAAATGAATGTACTAAGCATTTTACATCACCACCTCTAGCCCTTAGAACAAGGTAGATTCATTTGCTCCATCTTGAAGATGAGGAAGTTGAGGTTCAGAGAGAGAAGGTGACTTTATCAAAATTAGTCAGCTAAGAACTGGGGAAGCCAGGAACAAAACTCAGTTTGTTAGATTCAAAATCTGAGAGGAAGTGCCCAGGTGGGGTCCTTTGTGGTGGCCGAAGTGGTCATGTGACCAGGCCCACAAAGGGTGTGGAAGGGATATAACTTTTTGCTGTAAAGAAAATTTTAAGCTGCACTGAGGAAGAGGCCAATGTCTCATGCACATTCTGACCAACTAAGGACATGAAGGGGACAGAGCAGATGTTAGAATAAGGATAACTATAATACTCGTGGCAGCAAACACTGCCAGCGCGTTTATTCTGTGCCAGGTCCATTCTTAGTGCTTTATGGCTGTCACCTCATGTAATCCTCTCAGCAATTCTGTGAGATGGGTGTTATCATCCCCATTTTACAGATGAGGAAACAGAGGCTCAGGAAGTGTGAAACTCACTCAAGGTCACACAACTGATGTAGCCCCAAGCACATGAAGCCTTGTGGTTCCAAGCGAGGAAGAGTGAGCAATCAGCCATCCACTGGAGGCTGGGGACCCCCGGGTGGGAGGCGGGGTACTGAGCCAGGCCCAAGCGCTCCCTCACTCACCTGTCAGCCCCAAGGTGGACACGGGGCCCACGCGCCGCCCTGCGTGGAGCCCATACAGGTGCATCTTGTACTTGTGCCCAGGCTCCAGGCCCTGCACGGTCACCTCGCGCTCCTCGCCCCCAACACGAACCACCTGGGGCCGCCCATCCCTGTCCTTGTACTGCACGGTGAAGGCGTCAAAGTGGCCCTGGGGGACGGTCCAGGAGAGGCTCAGCGAGTCTGAGGTGGATCCTGTCACTGTCAGCTCCCCCAGGAGCAGCTCCTCAGGGGCCTCTGTGGAGGGCTCTGTGGGAGATGGGGTCTTGTTCACCTCTGTGGAGGCAGCGGTCTCTTCAGTCACATCTGAGAAACGAGCTGAGATGGGAAGAGAGGGAACATTTGAGGAATTCTCCTGTATTCACAGACAGTGAGGGCGGGGGCTGCGGGCAGGATGGAGGGTGAAGTTCGCTTCCCCACTTTGTGCTCTTCCCTTTCAGCTCCTGCCCCTCCTCGGAGCTTTCAGCTGCTCCCACCCTTCTTACTAGGTCAGGATAGTGGAATGTGTTCCTGCTAAGGCCTCCCCCTGTGGCCGGCCCTACCCTTTTTCCCCTTTAACCCTAAGGAGTGAATTGCTAAGGCAGGGCTTCAGGCAAGCGTGGGAGAAAGATTTAGGGGGAGGTGGGGGCTAGGGAGGGCCCTGTTCTCCCTCAGCTGACTCCCGGGATCACACCCCACGGGCACCACCCATCATCCCCTGCCACTGGGTCTTTGCTCTTGGGGAGCTGGGACACCATAGGGTGGGGAGACTATGGTGCATGAGAGAGAGCCTTTCTGTGACCCATTCCCCTGTCCATGGGTCTCCTTAGGGGAGGGGAGATTGAGAAGGAGAGCAGGCTAGAGCAATAGCCCAGGGAAGGATGGGGAGGGTAGAGAGGTGGGGAGAGAAAAGGTTACTGGAGAGTGAGAGGATCAGGGAGCAACAGCAGCTTGTACTTAAATAGCAGTTTCAATGTTGCTGATGCTGTTCTAAGTGCTATTCATAGATTAACTCATTTAATCCTAGCAACTCTATGAAATAGTTACCATTATTATCCCCATTTGACAGATGAGAAAGCTGAGGCACAGAGAGGTTTAAGAACTTGGACAGGTCCCACAGCTAGTGAGGTGCGGAGCTGGGATTGAAATCCAGGCAGCTGGCCTCAGAGACTGTTCTCAACCACAATGCTACACTCCCTCTGGGCAAGGAAAGACCCATGGGCCACAGACATGGCACAGGACAGGGAGAGGTGGGGACGTGGAGGAATGGGGTGGGGTGCTGGACTGGAAGTGGAAGTGAGTGGCCAGTTGGGCTGGCGGAGCCCTTTGCTTGGCTCCCAGCTGGCTGGAAGACAGGTAGTGGGGGTGGGGGTGGGGGAGGAGCCCTCTTCATCCTGGAAAGAGGTGGAGGAAAATGGTGCTCTTCTCCCTTGAGTCTGCCAGCTCTGAACAGAGCAGCATTGGCAGGAGGGTGTGAGAAGTAGGTCAAAGAAGTTCAGAAATGACTGTGGTAGGGAAAGAGCCCAGCAAAACCCATGGGGAGAGAAGATGGTTGCTGAATCCATGGAGAGAAGATGGTTGCTGAATTGTGAGGACGTCTGTGGGGAGGACAGCCTGCAATGGAGGGAAGACTCCCTGAAAGATGGAGAAGCAGGGCCGGGAAGGGAATAAGAGGCTGGAGATGGCTGGAGGCTGTATGAGGAGTTCGGGATAAGATGGACAGGAGAGCAGTGGGGGAGAAAACGCGAGGAGCTTTGACACAGTCAGAGCAGAGGAGGAGAAGGTGGAGAGAGGCCCAGGCCTGGGCCTGTTCAGAGGACTAGGGGCTAACAGGGGAGGCCCCAGAGGTCCTGACTCACCCGTTGTGGCCACTACAGACACGGGCCCTACACGCTGCCTGCCTTGAAGCCCGTAGAGGTTCATCTTATACTTCCGCTCGGACTCCAGGCCAGGGATGGTAACCTCGTTCTCGTCCCTTCCAACGGGCACTGCCTTGGGCTGCCCCTTCGCATCCTTGTACTGGACCACAAAGGAGTCGAAGGGGCCCTGGGCCACCGTCCAGGACAGGCGCAGGGAGTCTGGGGTCACGCCAGTCACCGTCAGCTCCCCCAGGAGGGGCTGCACGGGGGACTCGGGCCTGGGGAGCTCCTCTTTCCTCCCTGGGGCTGTAAAAAGAAGATCCAGCCAGGGCTGAACTGGCTTAGATTAGGGCTTGGGGTTTGGACAGGATGGCACAGTTAGGGGGTCACTATTTGATTCCTGTGAGCATACACTCCTGGGCAATCTGTCTGGCACAGCCAGTGTGTGACACACCTTCTGGGCCTTGGGGAGCGGCTGATGGGATGGAAGGGGCCCAGTAGGCAGGGGAGGCTGGCAGCCCCTCAGCCCGGGAGCAAGGACAGGACACTGGAGTCAGCAGTCTCGCTGGGAAGCCCAGCTGGTTCCTGGCTGAGGGCAAGTGTGCACAGGGCGAGGAGGCGGATACACGGGGGCTTGGGTGGCTGCCACTCACCTGTGGTACCATCGGCCGTGAGGGGGCCATGCCGCTTCTTGTTGGCAATCCCGAACAGAGTGAATTTGTACTTGTGGTCAGGGTCCAGGGAGGAGATGATGATTGAGTGCTCAGGCCCCTCCACTGGTACCACCTGGGGCTGGCCATCCCTGTCCCTGTACTGGACCACGAAAGAGTCGAACTGGCCTTCAGGGACAGTCCAGGAAAGGCGCAGCGAGTCTGAGGTGGGGTCAGTCACCCACAGCTTTCCCAGACGGGGCAAGGGCCCTGGGCCAGGGTCACTCCAAGGCACTAGGAGGGGGGATAAAGAGAAGGGAGGGGCACAGGTCATAGGGGAAGGGGGAGTCCACACCCCACAGGGATGCTGTGTGAGGTTATGCAGGCTGTTCACTGCACAAAGGTTTGCGGCTAAAAGCGCATGCAGGGACTGAAATCCAGCTGGCACACTGCTTGCCAAGCCGTGTGCCCTGGGAGGGGCTATGTCCACCTAGAGGAGGGGTGCCTTCTTCTAAATGGCACAGAAGCACTGTATGGACTAGTGGGGCCCTGACTATGCACAGCCCAGGAAGGAGAGGCCTAGCCAGGCCTTTGCACAGCTCCCTGGCCAGGGAAATCTTCCAGTACAACCTCCACTGCTTCCAGACTTGACTACTAGCTGGTCTCTCCTCCAAGAAAGGGGAGCATTCTCCTTGAGAGTTTTAACATGGAAAAGCCTCCCACATCTGGACTCTGGGCCCCTCCTCCTCCTCTTCCTCAGGACCTCCTATCCATTGATGACCCTCGCCCAAATCACCAACCTTCCACTCTCTGTAGGCTGTGCCATCAGCACTGAAACCTGCTCCTGTCTCCCTCCCTGTACTGCCTGCAACTCCCTCCAGGCCCCATCCTCCCTCTTTGCTCTCTATTCCCAACCCAGATTCCAGAAAGAGGTGTCTACACTGGCTGTAGCCATGTCCTCACTTCCGTCACCCGCCCCAGCCCTGCCGCCGCTGGGCCTCCAGCCCCACCCTTCCACCGAGACTGCCCAGTGGGGTGGATGGTGACCTGGCCATTGCTAAGTCCTGTGGACACTCTGTAGCCCCTGAATCACCCTTACGGAATCTGACATGTCTGACCGCACCCTCTGTCTTGGCATCCAGGACACCACACCCCTGGCTCTACCCCTCCCCAGTTCACCCCCAAGCTGCCCTACAGGCTCCTCTTCCTCTGCTCTGCCCTGAGTGCTGGTGGTCCTCAGGGCTCCACGGGCCCTGCCTCTTTTCCTCTCCACACCCTCACTCTGGGCCCCAACTCCATCCCCAGCGTCCATCCACATTGATGACACCCACGTCCCTATCTTCAGGCCTCCTCTCTGGGCTTCCTGATGCATGGGTGGCAGTATAACTCCATGGCCCCACCACTGTCTGCCACCTTGCCCTCTCTGTGCTCAATTTTCCTCATCTATAAAACGGGAATGCCTCCAGGGCTGCTGTCAGGATTAAACGTGACAATACGCTTGGAACATCTCGAATGCATTTGACACTCAACACTCAAAAGATGTTTATCTAAGTGTCCCACAGGCCTCTCAAACTGCCCCACCTCTGCTGTTTCCTGCCTCAGGGAACATGACTGTCTGTACCAGAAACCTGGGGCTTGCCTGGGCCTCCTTGCTCACTCTCCTTCACCTCTCATATCCAGCCCCGCTGCCACCATCCCAGCCAGGCCTCCATCATTTCTTATTGGCCCTTAACTCACTTCTCTAGCCATCCTCAGCAGCCATCGCAGTGCTGTTTACACAATAAATATCTAATCATGTCACTCCTCCACTTGAAATCCTTCAGAGGCCCCCTAGGACCCTCAAAGACATCTGAGCCTCACAGGCCCTGAGACCAGGTTCCTTAGCTCCCCAAAGGCCCTGCTCTCCAGCCAGGGGCAATATGGCTTTGGTCCTCCTAAGGGTCATGCTCTCTCCTGCCTTGCCCTCCACAGCTCCTTCTGTCTGTATTGTTCTCCTCAACTTCTCCGCCTGCCTGACCACTATTTTCTTTCAGGATTTAGTTCAGGCACCACCTCCAGGGAGCCTTCCTGGATTTCCCAAAGTGGGTCCCCAGAGCACTAGAAAGGCCTCCTTTGGGACAGTGCAGAGGGCAGGGCTACTCACTAGTCTTGGCTTCAGTGACCAGTGGGCCATGCCGCTTCTTGCCGACGAGCCCGTACAAGACAAATTTGTACTTGCGGCCGGGGTCCAGGGAGGTGATGAGGCATGAGCGCTGTGGCCCTTCCACGGGTACCACCTGTGGCCCATCCCTGTCCTTGTACTGGATCACAAAGGATTCAAATGTGCCCTCGGGGACTGTCCAGTGCAGGAGCAGTGAGTTCGTGCTCACATCTGTCACAGTCAGTTCACCCAGGCGTGGCTGGACCAAGGATGGCTCAGGCTTTTCTCCATCCTTGTCTAGGGTGTGAGGGACAAAAGCAAAGCACAGTGAACTCAATCATTCCCTTGTCTCCTTCGTCCTTCCTCTCTGCCCACTGGCTCACTCCACCCTGGACAGCTCCCTCCCTAAAAAATCCATTGCCATCAAGCTGATTTTGACTCATAATGACCCTATAGGACAGAGTAGAACTGCCCGAAAGGGTTTTCAAGGAGCAGCTGGTGATTCGAACTGCCAACCTTTTGGTTAGCAGTCAAGCTCTTAACCACTGTGCCACCAGGGTGCTCTGCTCCCTCCCTAGAAGCCTGCACTCCCCCTACCCCTGGGCCCTCCTGGAGAGGGGGGCATTTCTCCCTCAATCTCTTTTCCCAGTTGGGAAACCTCACAAAGGTTTCAATCCCTCTCCACACACACCATCTTTGGGGGAGTTTCAGTTCCCCATGGTTCTGCTGGAGAGTTTTAAGACTCCCCGCTGCTTCTTCAGAGCAGTCATAAGTCTCCTCAGCCCACCTGAGCTTTCTCCCTGCTGCCCTCTTAACCTGGAGTTGAGGGGAGAGCCAGCTACCCTGAACCCCACAGAGAGGGACCAGGAGAGGATGTGAGCACCCCAGGCTCTGCTCTCCCAAACCTCATTCATGTCTGAAGCCCTGACAGCTCTGGAGCCCCCTAACCTAAAGGGCCACTATCCCCTACAGCAACTGGCTGATGAGACCATGAGTGGCATTCACTGCTGGCCAGGCTCCTGGGGCGGAGGAGCAGAGCCACCATCCTAGCCTGTCCAGTGTAGGGTGGCAGGGACTGTGGAGAAAGGGTGGGAAGAAGGAAGCTGAAGGTCAGTACCCTCAGGGCCAGAAGACTTCCCACTCCCACCCTAAGAGGTCTATTGGGGTGGGCAGGGTGGGGCAGAGGAGATACCAGGAAGTGATGGCAGGTCACAAGGCAAAGATAGCCACAGGTGGAGAGCTAGGAGCCTACAGCCTCTCTCCCTGAATCCCTGTCCCACCTTCTGACATTTGTCCTCCTGGGGTACTCCCTTCCACATCCTTTGTTCTTAAACCCCCTCCATCCCTCTCTCCTCTGAACCCTCAACCCATTTCCTCTCCTTGTTTTCTCCACTCAGCCCAACATCAGCCTGCCCTTCACTGGTCCCTCAAGCACCATCCCACTTCTGAAGTCCAGATGGCTGTGGGCCTGGCCCCACCCCCAACCTCAGGACCCTGGTCTGAGCAGAGTCCAGGATGTACCCATAATGCCTTGGTAGATGAGGGGGGCAGAGAGCTGGCCATCAGGGTGGATCCCATGAAGCAACAGCTTGTAGGGGGATCCAGGAAGGGGTGGTGGCACCAGGGCCTGGTGAGTGTCCCCTGGCAGCAGCTCCTCATGATCCTCCAGCCCCTGGGGCACACGCAGGTGCAGCTGGAAGTGGGCAAAGATGTCAGGCTGGGCAGTCCAGGCCACGCGGAGGCGCCCGGTCTCGTCTCTGCCGAGCACCCTCAATTCTGCCAGTTCCTGTGGGCGCTGCTGCAGGACAGGGGCCCGGGCCCCTTGGGTCGTTGAGGGGCCTGAGGGAGGTGGTTCATCAGTGGCCCCCAAGAGGTGTGAGGGGGAGAACCCTGGGAAGGGGCAGGGTGAGAAAAACAGGAAAGGCGAGTATGAGAGCCGGAAAGGAATCCCGGGTCCCAGTGTTCTGCCCTGTAGCTTCTAAGAGCCTGAAGACCCTCTTGGGTCCACCACCTGGTCACTCCGTCCTCCCTAAGGCCTGCCAAGTCATCCAAACACCCCTGTCCACCACATTCCTGAGCAGATAGGCCTTTGCTTACAGCAGGTAATAAAAGCCTTCTCACCCTCCCCCACAAGGCTTCTGTGACCCCCCCAGCCCCCAGAGACCTCCATGTCCCTCCCCACACACATCCCCCTCCCCAGTGGGTGGTGATCACGGCTTCCATTAGTGCTGCAGTGAGAAGCCTGGAAGAAAGGAGGAGATGGTGGTGTTAGGGAGGGTGGATGCAAGAGGAGAGTGGGCAGTGAGAAGAAAGAGAGGGCATGGGGGGCTGGATATCCAGCTCAGGTGGCATCTGGGGCCTATAGGGGAAGAAGAAGCCCACAACCCTCTCCACGCAGCCACAGAGCAGCTCCCCCTCCCCAGCCCAGCCTGAGATCATTCCTGTGGGAGAGACGCTTGTGAAGTGAGCCAGGGAGTCTGGAAAGAAGCAGCGGTTTCATCACCCCCCACATACACATGGTGCCTGGTGGTTTAAAGGCCACCTCCAAGCAGTTCTGATGAGTCCCTTTGAGGTCAAGGCTAAATTGTGGAAAATGGCAACCACGAACCACAGTCTTCAGCCACTCTCATCACCCTTAGTCAGAGTGGGAACCACTGGTTTCACACCCCAGCCCACCCAAACTGCTCCAGTGAATCTTTGCAGCCCTCCCCCACCCCAGCCTTAAATGAGCTTCTACTGCCCAGAACAGCAATCCTGGCGGAAGTGCCCTGGGAACCCTTGTGCGCATCACGGAGCCCCAAGGACTGGGTCTCCTTGGCCTTAGGTATTCACAAGATGATGCCAGAACTGGCCGGGTGGGCGTGGAGTGAGAGGGTGGGGGGTGGGAGATGGCTTTTAGGGTGCACAGGAGAGCGTGCGTTGTTGTAGGGGCCTCTGGAGCCTGAGCCAGGTAGGAGCTGAAGGCAAAGGGGTGTGGTGTGGGGGTGGCAGTCTGAGGCAGGGAGGCAGTGGGCGAGACTCAAAGATGCGGATTCCTACGGCAGGTGAGGCCTGGCAAGGGATGGGTGGTCGCGCGGCCGCAGCCCACACTACCTGTGGTGGTGATGAAGGCGTAGGACTTGGAAGTCTGCCCCGCCCGCACCCCGTGGACCTCCACGTGGTAGGTGGTGCCCAGCCTGAGGTCGGGGAGGCTGACAGCGCGCGTGCTGCCTGGCACAGTCAACTCCCCGCCGGGGCCCTCTGCAGGGGGCTGGGGACGCCAGCGCATCACCACGCGCTCGAACTGGCCGCGGAGACCGTCGAGGGACACTAGAAGCGCGCCGTCGGCGGAAGTGCCCAGCACCTCGGGCTTGGGGTGGCGGGGCGCAGCCACCCGGTCGACTCCTTCGGGCGAGGGGCTGTAGATGCTCCGGTTGGAGTCCCGCTTCCAAGTGCCCGGGTCGGGGCTGGCAGTGGGGTGGGGGCGGTGGGGCGGGGCTGCGGGGGAACCGGCAGGGGAGGCGGCCGCCAGATGCCGCTGCAAGTAAGTGTAGATGTAGCGCGCCACTGACGGGTAGGTCTGGTTGGCTCGCAGGGGGTAGCGGTGCGCCCGCAGGTGGCGCTCCACGTCCTCCACCGTGCCGCCGTAGCGGCCCAGCTCGGCGGTCAGGTTGGCCCACGCCCGCCGCGGGGGCTGGGACAGGCTCAGCCCGGGTCGGGGCTCCTCCCTCTCCTCCTCCTTAGCAGGCCGTGGGGGCCGCGGGGGCCGCGGGGGTCGCGGGGGCCGCAGGGTCGGCCGGGGATGGGGCTTGGGGGGCGGGGCTGGGGGGCGCACCTCCGAGTAATCGTAGTGGCCTGGTGCTGCCAGGGGGGCGGAAAAAGGGGGAGGGAAGAGAGCAGGTCAGTGGCAGCTACTCGCCGTCCTCCCCACGACAGTCCCTCCTCCCTCCATCCCTCCCAATGGAGCCAAAGGCCTCTTCACTCTGCCCCAGCCCCACCTGCAAAGAGAACCGAGAGAAAGAAGTCAGTGTCCCAGCACCCCACCAACCCCCAAGCCCGCTACTGGTGGTGCCCTAGGAAGAAGAGAGAAGCCAGCGGGTGGAGCCCTGGGTCTGAAGGAGAGAAAAGGGAGTGGGGGGAGGGGATGCGAGCCACAGCGAGGTGGGCGGCCCCCTGTCACGGCGAAAGAAAAAGATCCGGGCATCTGTTAAGAAACCTTGAGGGTTAGTGGAAAATGACTCCTGTGAGGCTCAATTACCCCGCATTAAATTCTAAAGTTAACAGGGTTGCTGCTCTTGTACCTGCCCAGTTCCAGTCCCTACAAGATCTGACCGCTGTCAGCACAAGCCCTGCCCCTGTACCTAAGTTTGGATAAGAACCTCCCCCATCTGAGTGGGTTAGACTCCATCTCAGCTGGGTGCCCACTCCTATTGACTGCTTCTCTCTATGGGGCAGTTCTTCCCATAGTCTAACCTGCAGCCTTCCTACAGGATTCCAAGCACCTGAGGGCTCTGCCTCCTCAGAGCCCTCTGTACAGAGCAAGGCTCCCAGCAGGTGCTTTGGGACTACCACATACCCAACAAAGCCTGTGGGCCCTGCACCTGGGCTCCCAAAGAGGAAGCTTCTGCCCTCTGACACTGGGGTCCTTCCCTATCCCCTGGCCAGCCATACCTGTGTTGGCCCTGACAGAAGTCGGGTAGCTGACTGCCCGGCCGCGCTCCGCGGTGACAGTCACAACATATTCCACGCCCGGCATCAGGTCTGTCAGCAGCGTCCCATCTGCCTTAGGAGGCACTTCCAGCCGCACCCTCTGGTTGCCAGCACTGACATAGGACACCACAAATCGGTCCACCTCAGCCAGGGGGCGCAGCCAGCTGAGCTCCAGTGTTGTTGGCGTCACAGCCACCACGCGGAGGTCCTGGGGGCCATCAATCACTAGCCAGGTTGGAGAGAGGAGGGCTCAGGCAGGAGTCTGACTCTGCAGTCACCAGCTTTCCTTCTGAGAGTCTTTCCCCCACCCAGACCCAACCCTCTGCCCTCTCAATTCCAGATCCCCACCCAGGACCCTGTCCCACAGCCTCAGCTCTCACTGGTGGTAATAGTCTTGGAGGCAGGAGGGCCCCAGCTGGTCCCTCGAAGGGCACGGACAGTGACCTGGTACTCTTGGCCCGGGGCCAGTCCTCTCTGGTCATAGGCCGAGGCGGAGCTGGGCACCCGTGCTGTGAACGGAGGATTCACCCCTTCTGTCTGCAAGAGAGAGAGCCCCAGGCGGATCAGGGGTTGGCACTCTCGGCCCTGCTGCTCAGTTCCCTTTATCTCCTTTCTTCACTTCCAAGCAGAGTCAGCATGGGACTGTGTGGAACTTGGCCCTGTTAGAGCTGGGAGCATGGGTGGTGACAGCAAAAATGTCTAGAGCACTTACCCTATGCCAGGTACTGTTCTAGACAATTTACATGTACGAACTCGCTTAGTCCAAACAATCTATGAGGTAGATCCTTTTATTACCATTTTACAGTTGAGGAAACTGAGGCACAGAAGGATAAATACCTTGCCCAAGGTCACCATCACCAAGAAAGTGGCAGGGATTTAAACCCAGGCAATGTGACCTTAGGAAACCCTGGTGGCATAGTGGTTAAGAGCTATGGCTGCTAACCAAAAGGTTGGCTGTTCGAATCCACCAGCCACTCCTTGGAAACCCTATGGGGCAGTTCTACTCTGTCCTTTAGGGTCGCTATGAGTCTGAATCAACTCAAGGGCAATGGGTTTGGTTTTTCTGGTAACGTGACCTCAAGGTCACTAGGAGGCGCAAGCGTTTTTACTTGACTGCTAACCCACCCAGCAGCACCGTGGAAGAAAAGGCCTGGCGATCTGTTTATGTTAAGATTACAGCCAAGAAAACCCTATGGAGCAATTCTACTCTGTAACACATGGGGATGCCATGAGTCAGAATCAACTCAATGACAACTAACAACAACAACGTGACCTTCAGAGTCCCCTCTCACTCTGTTTTTAGCCACTTCATTGGCCCTCTGCCAGAATTCCACCTGACACACACGGGACTCTCCCTCTGGCTTTCCCCTGGCAACCCTGACTACCTGGGCACGAGGAGGCTTCCCCTTAGCCTGTTCCTGTCAAAACAGATGAAGTAGATGAGGGGTAACCCCTCAAATCTCATTTCCTCCTTCAAGCGTCTGCCCTAGCCTGAGCTTACCCACAGACTCCTGCCACTGGCTATATGGCTTGGGTGTGACTGACATTACATTTCCCTTTAGGGACTTTTCTTGTCTCTTCATCTGGGTTGGAGGCCCCTCAAAAGCAAGGCCTACCTGGCCAAAGTTCCACAAATACATTTCCTAGTTGCTGATTTTGTACTTGGCATTGTGCTGGGCACTGGAGACACAAACATAAAGAAATGGTCCCTATTGAAATGGCAGATGTTTTGTTACATGTATATTTACCATACGAAAAAAAATTGCCTAAAAAAAAGATATGGTCCCTGTCCTCAGGTAGCTCATACTCTTAGCAGCTAAATGTATGGCCACGCCTTATGTTTTATTAGACTCCTATACCAATCTCTAAGGAGCCCTGGTGGTGAAATGGTTAAGTGCTCAATTGCTAACTGAATGGACCCACCAAGCTCTCTGCAGAAGAAAACATCTGATGATCTGCTCTTATAAAGATTTTGTTGTTGTTGCATGCCATCGAGTTGATTCTGACTCATAGTGACCCTATGGGACAGAGTAGAACTGCCCCATAGTGTTTCCAAGGCTCTAATCTATACAAAAGCAAACTGCCACATCTTTCTCCCACAGAGTGGCTGGTAGATTCAAACTGCTGACCTTTAGGTTAGCAGCCAAGTGCTTAACCACTACGCCACCAGGGCTCCTTCTCGTAAAGATTACAGCCTTGGAAACCCTATTGGGCAGTTATATTCTGTCATACAGGGTCGCTATGAGTCACACTTGACTCGATGGCACAGAACACCACCACAAATCTCTATGTACAGTAAACACCTGTGAGAGAACAACCCTCCTCCAAGTGAACATTTAAAGTGTTGTGATGATGTGTGGTGACCTGGCAGGAAATCTGTGGGATTCCTGCTCCAGGCAAAGTCTCCTGGAGTGCCAGCCACTGGGGAAATAGGAGGAACTAGACATTTGTTAGCATGCTAACAGTCCCACATTTTGTTGGGGTGTCCAGCTCAGAGGGCTGGTAAGGACGCTCTGTTCTGCTTAGCTATGTTGACCGTAATGGGGACACCTCCATTCAGCCAAGTAGGATTGGAAATTTCAAAAGGCACTCCTAAACTAAGAGGATTGAGGGGGAATCAACACAGTAAATACCAAAGTATAAAACCAGGTAAGAAGGCCACATAGAGATTTCTGGGTTGAGGATGAAATAAAGCTTTGCCAGAGTTTTCTTGGATGAAGAGTTTTCTTGGGCACACAGTACCCCATCTCTCCTATGCTCCTTGCCCTAGGGCACCGCGGTGTAGGGAAGCCTTTTGCGTGACCTCAGCTCAAGACCCGTGAAATCCTCATCCTTCCCAGAAGGATGCTCCAACTTAATTGCTTGTTGTCGCCCTTTTTCTCCCTCAATCTCTCTCCTTACTCCCCCAACACACACACACACACACACACACACACACACACACACACACACACACACACACACACACGCGCGCGCACACCTTGGGAGCTCCCTGATGAAATCTGGTCCTTTCAGGGAGACAAGCCAACCCCCAGAGTTCTCCTTCTTCCTTCCGACCAACCTACAAGAACTCTTTGATCACCTCTTCATCCCTCCTGAGATCCACTTGGAGACAGGCCCTGACAGTCCTATTATCAGCCTAACTCCTGTCTCCCAGCACCATCTGACAGGTCTGAGGTGGGCTTCTCTAGCCAGATGCTGGCAGCTAGCTCTGTCCCTAGGTAAAGTTTGGCTGCTTCACCTATTGTTCCTGGCGAATTTCTAACCCTATTCTCAGTATCAACCTCGTGGCCCCAGATGGAGGACTCCACCTTGGCTGGTCCCTGGAGCTTACCTCATCCTCTTCTCCTTTTCAGACCAGACTCAAACAAAAACTCTTCTGAGGCTGCAAGGTCTTGGATCCCAGTGAAAACTTGGCATAGCCCTGGTTTCCAGGCTGCGAAATACACCCAGATGGAGAATACCCAAACCTCTTCCTGGTTCAAGGGCTCACCTCCCTCAGTTTTCCCACATTTTCTCTCACATTCATAGAGCAGCCAGCCTTTTGCAAAGGAGCAACATTCCTTAAGGAAGTGGCCCTCAGGTTTGAGGGGTATCCGAATCACCTGGAGGGCTCGTTACAACACAGGTTAATGGACTCTACTCCTGGAACTTCTAGTTCAGTAGATCTGGGAGTGGAGACTGAGAATTTGCATTTCTAACAAGCTCCCAAGGGTGTGGGATGCTGCAGGTCCAGGGAACACTTTGAGAACCACTGACAAAGCAACAATGCCACATATGCAGAGAGAGGAGGAATATTCCTCTTCTTTGTTCTGAAAATAATCCCAATAACTAGATGTGTCCCTTGCCAGGAATAGCAGAGTTTAGGCTTCGAGAGAGAAGGGCTTCTGGAAAGGGGGAGAAGTGCGGTAGAGACAGGCTTCTAGGAAGATGGCAGTGGCCAGAAGACAGCCAGCTGCTGAATATACTCCATGCCAATAGAAATGGACAGACAGTGCTAGCCAAGGCAAAAGGCACAATTCCAGGCTGCCAGCCATAGAGAGCTTAGGCGAATGTGAAGTCTAAGAGAGGTGTCCAGCGACCAAATTTTAAAAAGCGTCTTCCACACCTATGCTCAGAGAGGACCTAGAATGTGACAGAGGCCCATACCCAGAGCAGAGCAGACCAGATAAGCTGAGAGCATGGCCAAGTCTGCCACAGGCCAGCTCGGCGCCCCTCAACCCTGCCATCGGGGGAAGCTCAGGGCTCCGGCCTGGGAAGCTGATCCCTTGAGAAAACCCAACAATGGATCTGTATTTACTCAGAGCAACAGGCAGCGCTGGCCTGCAAGCTCCTCAAGTGTTTATTTTAATTCTTCTTTCCCTGCAGTTTCTTAGGAAAGTTCCTTTTTAAAACACCCCTTCAAGATTAGAACTATGTAAATAATACACACACAGAAGAAGAGAGTGGGAGAAACACTTTAAAATCTTAACAGTGATTGTCTGACTGTGAAGCAGTCAAGAATTACTTGTTTTTCTTATCTCTGGTTGCCAAATTCTTGTCTTGTGATTAAAGTGTTTTTACAACCAAAAAAACCCTCTAATTTTTAAACAGAAGAAAAAAGTCAAGTTATCTTGGTTGCACCACAAAGTAAGGATTTCTACTTCTGCCAGAAGAGTGAGGAGAGTGCGAATGTGGTAGGGGTCCAGCCTGGGGGTATAATGAAAAGATTTAGGATGACCATGCTGGAGTGGAGTAGGGATGACAGCCAGCATCTCTGAACTGTCCCTTCTCAGGCTCTGGGCCCAGGGAGTTATTTACTTTTACAGAGTCCTCATCTAGAGACGAAGGTGATGTGGCCCATCTCCCTAGCACTTGTGGGTTTTTCTGGAAAACATGAGTTGGACAGTAGAAATGTCAGATGATTTGGAGCCAGAACAGCCACATCCTAAAAGCCCAGTAATGAGAGATTCCTAATTAGAGGCCACAGGCTTTGCTGTTAGGGTGCCCCCCAATGTTTTAAGAGCAATTTGGAGGGAAACAAAGTAAGGATGCTTCACAACGTGCTGACGGCATGGAGGCAGAGAACCAGTTCACAGACTCGAAATTATTGCAACAGCTAGACAGTCTGGCCCAAACAAAAAAAGATAACATTTAACAGAGCTAAATGCAAAGGCCTATATTTAGGCTTAAGTAAAAAAAAGTGTATATAGTTGAATGTTGTCTTCTTTCCATCCTTTTTTTCCTTGCTTAGCTATATTTTTCTAAAATTTCTACAATGGGTCTATATGACTTTTATAATAAAAAGTTACTTTAAAAAAAAGTAAGAACAAAATAGCTGACAATTTGCTTGACCACAAGTCAATATACACCAACTCTGAGAAAAGCGCTACTGTATTCAGAGTCATCTAGGCGACAGGGTGGGCCACTTTCTGCCCCCACATTTGGGAGGCACATGCAAAAAGCAGGAGGCACTAGAGGAGGGAACCCAGGAAGGTGAAGGATTTAGAGAACAATCTTAGGAGAAAGAGATGAAGAAACCAGTGGGTTTTCCTTGAGAGAAGACTGAAGGGTGATGTGATGGCTGATGTCTCCTAATGCTTGAAGGCCTGTGGTGTAGAAGGGAAAGCAGACAGACAGTCCAGCTACTGGGGAAGGCCTACCCAGGGCCAGTGGACAGACATTAGGAGAGGGCAGATTTGGATTTGACAGCAATAAAAAGAACTGTCTAGCAGTGATGCCCAGCAATGGACTGGACAGCCTCAGGAAGCATCACAGAGGTGTCCCAGCAGCAGTGGGCCAGGGGCTTGCCCGAGATGCTGCAGAGGCTTTATGTACCCCATGTAGGGCAGGATAAGAAGGCGTTTACCGCAACTTCTGGAATCCAGCCTTCTAGATACAAGGACTGCAACGTCCGGCACTGGGTGAGCCCCCCTGCCACCCCCAGGTCCTTCCACTCAGCCCCCTCCTGGAGTTTGGCGTCCCACTCACCGTGGGGATGAACTGAATTTCATAGGCATCCACAGGGCCGGCAGCCTGGGTCCACTCTGTTCGAACCGTCGTCTCCTCCAGGAGGTGCATCCTCATGCCCTCGACGGCTGGCACCTCTGCCCAGAAGGGGTAGAGGAGCTGGTTAGCCGAAAGCAGCCACCCTCCACCCCACCACCACAGCCCTCCCTCTCCAGGGCAACATCAAGAGGCCCATCAGGGCTCCTACTCTTCTCTGGGGTGGGGGAAAATGGGCAGAGGCCTGAGCAGGGGCAGTGGTTCATTCCAACTGGGGCACTACAGGACCCGGGCCTTCTTCACCCAGGAACATACTCTCCCTCAAAGCAATTAAAGGGGCTGGGACCTCCTCAGGAAGGATCTGAAGGCTGGTCGAGCCTGTTGAAATGCCTCATGGTTTTGCTGCTCCAGTCATGCTGGTTGGTTCCTCTGACTGCCTCCATCCCCGCCGCCCCAGCCCCCAATATATGACCTTTCTGCACTGTTCCTCTAGGTCTCCATGCTGGGCCTTCCCACCATCTCCAGTTTCCAAAAGCCCAGTCTCCTAGGGTAGGGAGCATATTGGAGAAGGCTGCCCGCTCACCTTCCCCGCAGTCCTCGCCTGCGAAGCCGTCTTGGCAGTCGCATCTGCCCTCATGGCACTCTCCACGGCCGCGGCAATCCCCAGGGCACGTCTGGATGGCGCAGTCGGGGCCTCGGAAGCCCTCCACGCACACACACTGGCCAGCTCGGCACAGCGCCCGCGGCCCGCAGCCTCCGGGACAGGCGCTGGAGGGGGGCTCTTCCTGCCCACAGTCCTCCCCGCTGTAGCCTGCGTGACACAGGCACACTCCCTGCACACAGCGCCCACGGCCTCGGCAGTCGGCAGGGCAGGTGCGGGTGGCACAGGTGGGGCCAGTGTAGCCTGCGTCGCACACGCAGCGCCCATCTTCACAGCGGCCGCGCAGGTGGCAGTTGGCTGGGCAGGTGCGGAGGCCGCAGTCTTCGCCCGCGTAGCCCTCCCAACAAGTGCACACGCCGTCCTGACACACCCCTCGCTGGTTGCAGTCTCCCGGACACTGCCTCACGCCGCAGTCCTCGCCCTCGTAGCCACCATCGCACACGCAGCGCCCATTCTGGCACTGGCCGCGGCCTCGGCAGCCCCCGGGGCAGCTGAGCGCGCCGCAGTCCTCGCCCTCGTAGCCCGCGTTGCACACACACACACCATCCTCGCAGCGGCCGCGCCCGTGGCAGTCCCCAGGGCACCGACGGCTACCGCAGTCCTCGCCAGTGAAGCCCGGGTTGCACACGCAGCGGCCGTCCATGCAGCGCCCGCGCCCACGACAGTCGCCGGGGCAGGCGCGCATGCCGCAGTCCCGGCCAGTGTACCCGGGCCAGCACACGCAGCGGCCGCTCTCGCACCGGCCCCGGCCTCGACAGTCCCCGGGGCAGCTACGCACGCCGCAGTCGTCGCCGCTGTAGCCCGCATTGCACACGCACAAGCCGTTCTCGCAGAGCCCGCGGCCCCGACAGTCGCGCGGGCAAGTGCGCGCGCCGCAGTCAGGCCCAGTGTACCCAGGCCAGCACACGCAGCGGCCGTCCTCGCAGTGGCCTCTTTGGTTGCAGTCCCCGGGACAGCTGCGCACGCCGCAGTCATCCCCGCTGTAGCCCGCGTCGCAGATACACTCGCCCTCCTCGCAGCGCCCGCGGCCCTGGCAGTCGCGCGGGCACGTCCGCGTGCTGCAGTCTTCGCCCGCGTACCCCGGCCAGCACACACAGCGGCCGTCCACGCAGCGCCCGCCCTCGCCACAGTCCCAGGTGCAGCTGCGCGCGCCGCAGTCCTCGCCAGTGTAGCCGGGGTCACACACACAGCGTCCGTTTTCGCAGCGTCCCCTCTGGCTGCAACCGCGAGGGCAGCTCTTCACCCCGCAGTCCTCGCCAATGTAGCCGGCGTCGCACACGCAGCGCCCGTCTTCACAGCGGCCTCGCTGGCTGCAGCCTCGAGGGCAGGTGCGCTGGCTACAGTCGTCGCCCGAGAAGCCAAAGCGGCAAACGCACACACCTTTCACGCAGCGCCCATGGCCTTGGCAGTCCCCAGGACAGGAGGGCCAGCCGCAGCTGGGGCCGGTGTAGCCAGGGAAGCACACGCAGCGGCCGCGGACACAGCGACCCTGATCGTTGCAGTCGTCGGGGCAGGACTCGGAGGCTGAGGGCGACGAGGAGGAGGAAGGCACAGTGGCGTCCGTGGGGTCCGAGCAGGTGGGCCCACCCCAGCCTGGCTCGCAGGAACAGGCGCAACGGCTCAGGTCAAACACGCCATGGAGACTGCAGAGGCTACGCACGTCTGTTTGGCCTGAAGCAGGAGGGCAGGGAGGGCGTCAGTCTGGAAGGGGGGGTACTTTCTCCGGGCAGGGGGTGGGGGGGCCCGTCCAGCGGGGCCAGCCTCATTTCATAAGGCCATTTTAGCTCCCAGCTGCTTCTTGTCAATATATGTGACCTCCCACGGTCCTAGCATATACTTGGAGGGAGGAGCTCACATCTAGCCCTGCTGGGCTTCCCAGGTTTGTGCCCAGGCACAGCCTTCACGTATGGCTGCACCCCCACCCTAGGACAAGGAAGGGACACCTTTTTCTATTTTATACCAAGGCCCCTATGGTCTAGCGATGCCCAGCCCACCCTCACCTACCTCTCCATCTTCCCTCCCTTCTGTGCCTGCTCACGTGATCATGTGCTCACCAGTACCAGCCTGGGCAGCTGTGGGACAACATCCCCCTGTGCACTGTTCCTTGAGCCCCTTCACCAGCTCCTCCAGGATCTCCAGCCGGATCCTCAGGGCCTGCACCTCTGAAGCAGGGACCGGGGGCTCAGAGCCCGGGGGACAGCCACAGCTAGCTGAAGGGGGCAGGTTAATGCGGTGGGTGAACACCACCTGCTTCTCCCCTCCCTCCACCGTGTGCTCGTAAAGCTGAGAGGAAGGGTTTCCCCTTCCTGTCACAACTGTGCGGCCCCCAGGCTGAGGTGGGGGCCGTGGGGCTGGGAGTGTCACATTGGACCGTGGAGAGAAGGGGCCTGCTCTGGCTGTGCCCAGCAGCACCAGGAGGGCCAGGCTGGAGGTCAGGGGACATTGGGCTGGCATCCTTCAGGAGGCTACGGGGAGAGAAAGCAAGTGTGAGAGCAGCTTAGCAAAAGAGGCAAGATGGAACCCCCACACACACACACACCCACAGTTCCACCACCCACAACAGCTAACCCACCCAACTCACATGTATATAAAAATCCACATTCAGTCCGACCTTAAGAGATGGTTCCCTGGGCAGATCTGGTCTCTACCTCTCTCTGATGTCATTTTTGCCCTGTTGTTGTTAGTTGCTGGGGAGTCCATGCTGACTCAGGATGACCCCACGTGTGCAAAGTAGAACTGCTCCATAGGGTTTTCAAGGCTCTGACCTTTTGGAAGCAGATAGCCACACCTGTCTTCTGAGGCACCTCTGAGTGGGTTTGAACTGCCCATTTTGTGGCTAGTAATCGAGTGCTTAACTATTTGTGCCACCCTCTGATTCTCCGCTTTTCACTGTGCTCCATCTAGCCACACTGGTCTTTTATTTGTCCCACAAACACTACAAGCGTACACTAGCCCAAGGGCCTTTGCACTGGATGTTCCCTCTGTCTGAAACGCTCTTTCCTCAGCTCTCTAAAGGCTGGCCCCTTCTTGTTTAAATCTTAACACATATGTTATTGGCTCTGAGATTAATCCACAATCGGAAGCAGTCTTCCATCACCCTCCATCACAAAAGCCTGCTTATGTTCTTCACAGCATTCACTGCGGCCTGAATCACCTGTTTGCTTGTTTGCTACCTTTCTCCCACTACTAGAGTGAGAATGGGGACCCCGTCCATCCTGGCACTGCTGTATTCCTGTGCCTGGCACACCAGGCCATCCAGCAAATTCATGTTGAATGAATTAGCGGATAAGCATCTAAGGCCAGTCCTTCCACCAGCTCCTACTACCTTCTCAGAAATTTTAAATGTAAATTATCCTACACCCCTCTTATTCAATACCTCACTCTCACTCAACAGGATCCCCCCATCAGATTTTATATGAGCTGATTTAAAAAAACAAAACAAAACATTGCCATCCACTTGGACTTATGGCGACCCCACGTATTTCAGAGTAGAACTGCACTATAAGGAGTTTTCAATGGCTGTAATCTTATGCAAGTAGATTGCCAGGGCTTTCTTCTGCAGCACCACTGGATGAATTCAAATCACCAACCTTTTGGTTAGTAGTTGAGTGCAAACTATTTGCACCACCCAGGGACTTTATGTGAGCTAACATCTCTCCCATAGCCCCCTACCCCCAAAAAAGAGAAAACAAAACCCCTCTTCCATGACCAGCTATCAAGATTTATAAAGCTACAGTAAATAAGACCATGTGGAATTGGTGCAAAGATAGATGGAAAAGAATGAAGTCCTGAAGCAGACCCACACATATATGGTACTAAATACCACTGCAATTAAGTAGAGAAAGGATGGTTGTTTGGAGAAAGGATAGTTGTTTCGGTAAATGATGCTGGGTCAATTGAAGATTCATGTGGAAAAGAAATGAATTGATCTGTACCACGTATCCACACATGGAAATTAATTTTAGATGGATAGTGGACCTAAATGTGAAATGTCAAATAATACTTTCAGAACAATACTTTATAGAAGAAAATATAGGGTAAAATCTTCATGATCTTGGAGTAAGCAAAGTTTTTTTCGCCCCTTATTCCTTTTTTTTTATAGCAGTACAATATTTCACTGAATATGATAACAGTTATTAACAGATGAAATTAACATAATTTGATGGAGATTTAGGTAATTTGTAATCCTTTCTATTACAAACAGTGCTGCAGTAAATAACAATGTACATATGTCGTTTTTGTAATCTGTTAATATATCTGTAGGATAAATTCCTAAAAGTGATATGTGCATTTGTGATTTTGATAAGTATTGCCAAATTGCCTCTAAAGGATGTTCCAATTTACATCTCAGCAGCAACATACAAGAGTGCATGTCTTCTCCCCTGCTTTGCCAACAAAGCGTGTCTCCAAATTTTTTAAACAATGCAATCTGATAAATGAAGAATAATGCAGTATAGTTTTAACTTGCATTTCTCTTATTATAAATGTGATCAAAGATATTTCCTATGTTTAAAAGTCATTTGTGTTTCCTTTTCTGTGAACTATTCATATCCTCTGCTTTTCTATTAATTTATTGGTGTTTTTCTTACTGGTTGTAGGAGTTTATAATGTATTAATGAAATTAATACACAAATTTCCCCCAAGTTATATTTTTTTCTTGGCTGTAATCTTTTCTTTTTTTTTTTTTTTTTGCAAAGTTTTCTTAAATGGAACACACACACAACCTAGCCATAAATAGGGATTCATACACTGGAGCTCATTAGAATCGATAACTTATGTTCATCAAAAGACACCATTAAGAGAATAAAAAGGAAAGCCACAGACTGAGGGGAAATATGTGAGAAATATGTGAAACGTGAGAAAACATCTGACAATGGATTAAAATCCAGAATAAAAACCTTCTACAAAACAAACAACAAACAAAAGGCAAGCAATCCAATTTTTAAAATTGGCTAAAGACTTAAACAGGCACTTCACAAAAGAAATCTACCTAAAGGGCCGATCCACCACCCATCTGTCAGTTTGTTGTACTGTGGTGGTTTATGTGTTGCTATGATGCTCGCAGCCATGCCACCAGTATTTCAACTACCATCAGGGTCACCCATGCTGGACAGATTTCAGCAGAGCTTCCAGACTAAGACAGACTAGGAAGAAAGGCCTGACAATATAGTTCATAAAATTAGCTAATGAAAACCCTATGGATCACAATAGAATATTGTCTGATATGGTGTTGCAAATACAACAGTGCCCACAACAATGGACTCGGGCATACCAAGATCATGAGATGGCACAGGACAAGGCAATGTTTCATTTTGTTGTGCACAGGGTTGCCAAGAGTTGACTCAATGGCAACTAACAACAATAACAACAACAAAGGGACAATGAAGATATGAAAAGGTGCATTATATCACAGATTAAACCCACAATGAGATGCCATAAACATCCACCGGAGTGGCTAAAAATAAAAGGACTATCATTGCCTGATATTGGCAAGAACATGAAGCAACTGGAACTCTTCATCCCTGCAGGAGCGTGTGTTCACACAGCCACTTAGAAACTGTTTAGCAGTATCTACTAAAGTACTAAAGCATATAGCCTATAACCCAGAAACTCCACTCCTTGGTAAATATCCAAAAGAAATGAATACATATATCCTTCAAAAGACATGTACAAAAATATTGATTTATTTACTCATATTAGCCAAAAACTGGAAACAACTCAAGTGTCCATTAATAGTAGAATGGATAAATAAAGTGTGGTATACTCATACAATGGAATGCTGTACTGTAATGAAAAAGAACACCCTATTGTTAGATGCAACAAAATGGATGAATTTCACACACATAATGCTGCACAAAACAAACCGGACACAAAAAGAAAACATTCTGACGATGAGTCTATTTCTATGCGACTCAAAAACCAGTAGAACTAATCTGTGCCCTTAGAAGATAGGATAAGATTACCTTTAGGGTGGTATTGACTAGAAGTGGTTACAAGTGGGGATTTTTGGAAATATTTTGTGTTTTTGTCTGGGTGGTGGTTAAACAGATGTATAAATATTCAAAAATTCATTGAACTGTAAAGATTTGTGCATTTTACCGTATGAAAATTATACCTCAAAAAAAACCTCACACCCTCCAGTTACTTGTTTCTCTCCTCTACTTCATAGCCACAGTTGTCAAAAGATTTATCTGTACTAGTTGTTTCCATTTCCCCACCTCTCATCAATGCCTCAATCCACTCCCATCTGGCCTCCCCACCCCTCATCAACCCACTGAACAGCTCTTGCTAAGGTCTACCAGTGATCTCAGTGTCTCAGTGTCACAAAGTCTAAGGAACATTTGTCTTCATCTTATGTGATCTCTCTCAAAATCACTGGACACTGTTGACTACATCTTCCTTTTTAAAACATTCTATATCAGCACTATCCAATGTGGTAACCAGTAGGAATATACAGCTTTTGAAAACTTGAAATGTGATGAAAAACTGAATTGTATTCCATATTTTTTAAAAGCTCCCCAGGTGATTGTAATGTGCTGCCAGAGTTGAGATTTACTGCTCTAGTCATTCATCTCCGTCACTTAATCTGAACCCATGACTTTATTTTCCAAACTATATGCCAATTTATAAAACCAGCCCAGTCACCTCATTTTAACTCCATGGCAATATATCCAACTGCCTACTTGGCATCTCCTCTTGGGAACCTCAGACTCAACATACCTGAAACTGAACTCATGATTGTTCCTCCTGTACCCAGTCCTCTCCCAATGTTCCACATTATAGCTCATGGTCCCACCATTCATCCAGCTTTACAAGCCAGAAACCTACCAGAGTGCTTCAAAACCCCTCAATGCCACCATACTTACCTATATTTCCTCATCAACATCTCTTTAATTCATTTACTACTCTCTCTCTTACTAGTGTACTGTCTTAATCCAAGATACCATCCACCTCTTTCCTGACAAAAGTAATTGCCTCCTAGCTGGTCCTTCTGCTTCCACTCTTGGCTCCTACATCTCACTGCAGTCAGGTGATCTTTTCAAAAGGCAACTGGAACGTCCCTCTCCTCCTTAAAACTCTCCAGGGTCTTCCTTCCAAATTCTTAGACACCGACAGACAGCCCTGCATCATCCAGCCCCTGCTGACCTCTCCCACTTCATTTTTTCATAACGTCTCCCTCCCTCTCACCACTTCAACCCTACTGGCCTTTTCAGTTTCTGATACTCTTTTTAAAAAAAAAAATATTTTATTGTGTTTTAGGCAAAAGTTTACACAGCAGATCAGATTCCCATTCAATGATCCATACACACATTGTTCCATGACACTGGTTACTCTCCCCACAATGTGTCAGCATTCTCACCATTTCCACCTCCCCTGCCATTTCCATCCATCCAGTTTCCCTACCCCTCCCTGCCTTCTCATCTTTGCTTTGGGTAAATGTTGACCATTCAGTC